AATGATATATTAGTCGTCCACCAGAATATTAACCTTATCCTTCATTTCACACTTTCATATGTATTAGGAGGTTACTTGATTATATTACGCGATGTCACCGATATCCGCAATAATAGCCAGATCAAAATCGTACGCCACTTTGACCGTTAGTTCTTTCGAATCTCCGTACCTTTTAATCGGCATAACGGGCATTATCTCCTCCAAATGAGGGCAGTTGCCTTCTTCTTCCTTAATACCTACAAGTGACTCGCAATTCTAAAATAGCAAAACTCCCATTTCATTCTTCGAAGTTCCACCTCCTCGGGTTATTTTATAAGGCAAATAAATCTCACATGGTTACAGCGTGGCGAGTTCAAATTCTGTTATATTTAAAAAAAAACGAAAGAATGAAGAGGCCTGCGTCATTGAAAAAAAGATGTTTGCATCTTTAACTAGTGACGTAATTGGGCGATGTGAAGAGGATTCAGGGGGCTAAAGTGCACTGTCTACCACTAAATTTGAAAGACGTTATTTTAGCGATGCTTATGTTAATAAAACCAATATTTTTTGCGAATGATGATCGAATGTGGAACGTCTCGAAATTTGAGACGACTAAATAGGCATGAATAAATTCAAAAATCAACCTTTATAAGTTGCAGTTTGCCCAGACACCACACGGCGAACCCTGGTTGGTAGTTTCACCGAAAAGCCATATAAAGGGGTTAACATGAGCCTGTAAATTTGGCAGTACCCGTTAATCGTAAAATGTCGAAGTTGTCTGCCAATCAAGATATTAGTCATACACCTAGAGCGGCCACATAAGGTACAAATAATAAAAAAGGTAAAGCATAATTTTCGAAGTCGGGATCATTTTAATCGGAATTATTGCTTAAGTTGCCGGTTGAGATAGGGTGTAAGGTTGTGTTCCCTGTATTCTTCGGATAATTTGGCTGCGAAAATGTAAAAAGACTGACGCCTCGTAAATAAATATAAATATTGATAAGTGGCTTTTCTCAGAACCAAAATATGCTTGGGTGTTGTTAGCTGGGACTTTCGGCAGTCAACCCATTGCCTTCAAAAGTCATTGCACTTTATCCAGAATGACGACAAACGTGAATTTTCAAATGATTAATTGAGAAATGTTACCTGTCTCAAGTCTTCAACAGTACTATACAAGTACACTTACTAGGGTATACGTCCCCTTTATTATGAACAACCGAATTCTACCAAGAGTAAGCTTTTCTGGTTCATATTTCATCTCACCGAGGTTATTCTGACCAGTTTTTAAGCAGTGCTTTAGACGAATTTGACATCTACGTGTGGACCCAATTAGGAATAAGAGATCGGTGTTTATATGGGTGCAAGCAAATAAGAATTTGCGGGCCTGCATTAATTACGTTTTTTGACGTAGTTTAGCACTAATGCATATTCTAATCTATTGGTTGCAAGGAGTAAAGTCCCTAAAATAAAAAAGGAAAGGGTTATTTTCATGGAAAATTATAGTTTTTGAACCCAAAACTGACCTAATGTATTTCAGCTGTTTCCTCCAAAAATGGTATGTTAACCACTATTTCATTTGCCTGTACCATTTTGGTTCAATGCAGCAACCTCTGAACAGTAGCATAGTACGAGATTTATTTTGTATGCCAAAACTGCCTCTTCCTACCCCTCCGATATTTATGCGATCTGTACGCCAATGTCGTCAACCAAGAAGGAACGAATGACTTTTCTCTCGAATAAACTATTTGGCATCCGTAAAATTACCCATAAACGTCTTTGTAATAACTTGCATAAAGATCTTGTCCCCGCGCCTTGTGCGTGGGTACCGAGCATTTGCATATATATGTATGAACATATTAGTCAGCAGTGGTTGTGTCTTGTTTCCTATTCGTGTGTCAAAATATGGGATGCATACACCCGCGTAAAGAAGATGTGAAGACGCCCGGGGCCACAAAAACGAACGATAAGGGATATGCAGTAAGGAACTTTCCAACGGAAGAAATGTGATTTTGAAATGAAAAATAAGACAGTAAGGCTTGGTGAGTCGGACAGTCAGTATTATCCAAATTATGACTATCAATACATTTTGTTTTTAAGCAGCTTCATGTTATTAATTTAACTGAGCACACTGTCAATGTGGGGGAGGATTTCCCATGTAAAGACACAAATAATTAAACTGAGACAGGTTAAAACTGTTGACGTCCTGACAAAGTAAGCAGACTGGATGATTTTTAAGCAGCATAATGATCGTAGAAATTCCTCCAAGTAAAGCTGGCAAAGAAAACCTCATCTCCTCTCCCCCCAGAAACGGCAGCAAATGCATCAAAATAGTGGGTTTTTCCAAAACGTAATGTTGGCATCTTGATTATAGATCCAAGAACGATTTCATAGTTTGACCAAAATAAGTTTACGTTTATAACGTCAAAACTACTCGAGTAGACCTCACAGAGTTTCTGAGCGAACAAGGAGACGAAGGTGGCGACTTTCTTAATGAGCATGTGCGTGACCGCTGGGGACATACTAGTCACAAGGCTATATTTACTGGCAATAGTTCGAAGACCCAATCTGTCTTACTCGCAGTGTTTGGTTTGATTCATTAAACGTTTAATTTTATTAATATAGGGTAAGCAAAAAGACAAAATGACAGCATTGCCGGATGTGACATCACTTCTTAGAAACGTTCCGACGAACCGAATAGATTCTCCTTCTTCTTCCTGATCCGCGTGTGTATGAAGTGTTAAACTTTAGATTTGGTTGGTTTTTTTAATGTCAAACCGAGTGTTTCGCTTTGAGATCATGTTGGCGAAGTCTAAGCAGACGAGGTACGCGTTTGTGGCTTACCACACCTATGTATTTCGACGGCAGCTATTTTAAATATAACGCCACAACTGTGAACAATAATCTCGACTTCAATGAACTCCCGTGAAGACTGAACAATATAAGATCAATTGCCTAGCCAGCTCTACAAGCATAAACAACAGAATTATTTCCACTTATAGAGGCCTTTCGGAGCGGAAGACTGATCAGCAGCGTTTATGGTGAGGTACATGAAAAAAATTGGAAGGGGCAGTTAACGAATTGTCATAACTGTGGGCTCTTTAGGTAGAAGTTCAGCTCGATGTTTAATGAGCAGAGTCCGATGTATATGTCTCGAACACACTTCAGGGGGAGGCGTCAGACTGCATAAATGATTTTTAAGGAGACAGTGAATGCAGTCATGTACAAAACCCAAATTCCAAAAGCTGTCATGATCGCAAATAAAAAGAAGGATTTCCACGTGTAACTTTCTTTTCATGGATGGTTGACAAACTAACTCTGGGCCATAATTTGATGTCGGTTATACTGCGCCCATGCCCAGTGGATGAACCTAGGATGACATTCGTTGTATGTCAGTCCCTTTACTTATTTGCTTGGAGCGGTCTATAAAGCCGGGCGAGGAGGCATCTCCTGAATAGTGCACGTGAGCACTACGCAGCACAGTTTGTTTAGAGAAGGATCACGTTCATCATGAACGGCACCTATGCCACCAATAGGATATGAGTAAAAGTACCGACAAAACAATCAGAGCCATCAAGTCAACGCATATTGTGACGACAGTGGCAGGCTCCATAAGCCCACAGAATTTTGCATTTATTCAAAACAAGTTTTTCAGTAACCAATATCAGCTTTGCACGCACTGTCAAGTGCGACGACAGACCTGTCAAAGCAACTGACGATCCGTACCCTAACGGCTTTTCTTGTCGTCTACAGCGAAGCTGCCATTTTGACCTCACCTGACTGCCCCACGAATCCTGCGACGATAAAAAGCCCTCCCCCCCCTCCTGCCCTCTATCATCTGTCATGTGAGTGAACACACAAAAGTTTCCCTGCCCCTCCTTTATCATTTGTTTGGCCTTCGCAACCAGTGAATAGCTAAAGTGTCGGATGAAAAATGGCCAAAAACGTACGTTAGCCTCTTATGTGAATAGGACATTTTACAGACCTAATTCGGCAAACTTAGGCAAAATCTTATTGTGAGACAATAAGATGCATGTACTTTAAATCCAATATTCTCGGAAGAGCCTCGGTTACCGTCATTTGGGTCATAAAATTAGCTAATGTGTGCGACCTTAAAGAGAAGCTTGAAGTCTCGCCTTCAGGCCAGGTGCGCCACCTCACATCCGTTAAAATGTTTGTCCTCCGAGCACAGGCGGGCTTCGTCTAGTGTAGAGGTTCGGAGAAGAGTCAGAGGAAGCAAACATTTCCAAACTCGGGAATGGAACATCACTTCGCCTATATTTTTCTAATAGGATGGAGGTTCCGAAAGATGCCCATGTGCTCAGTTTAACGGTTACACGTGCACGTCTTATCTGCAGAATAAATAATTCATTTAGCACAATGCCCACTAATATCCAAACCACCAAATAATAACTTGGATAAATTACTTCAATCGATAGCACATTCGTCTTATTATGCAATCTTTGTTGTAGGGACACTTGAAGAAGAGGTTTTAATAAGGCGGAATATGCCATGGGAAAATATATAGAAAATTTGTTCGCTAAGCCCTCCCTGAGAAAGCACCGTCTCTCGAAAATTAAAATGAGATCTAGTGAAGGTTAAGCCGAGTACATTAATTGAAAGTTTCGAGGAGCAAATGTTGTCAATACTCCCATCTTATCTCCCAGGCGGCCTAACGGCCGTATTGTCTGCCTTGGAGTCACTAGAAAAATGCACGTTACGAGACTTGACATCACGAGTCTTCACGCGTTATTGAAAAACATATTTGCAAGGATAAAATTCGAAACATTTTGACACACGATTTCAAGCGCATATGAATTGAAGCTTTAAACTAAAGCCTTAGTCGAAAGAATAACTAACCACTGTGGGGTGTGCGTTTAATTTGAAGGACAACTAAACATAAACTCAATTCCGCAGGTCAAACAAGAACGGGGATAAACTAACGCTGACATCTTAACAAGAAGGAAAGGTGAAAACCGGGGAGAATACATGAGAGTTTAAAACAAAGGGATATAATGTGATCAAACCATCACTAAAACGTACTCAGTGCCATTCGATGTGTGCAAAATAGTTTGAAAAGATAGCACGACATGCGGTGCTTGACCAATCTCACGAAATATTGGCCGAAATTCTGAAACGCTTTTTCGACCAAGAAGGTTTACTTTAGTAGGGTTGTAATATTAACTGCTACGCAGCATAATTCCGCAATATTTCGGACTCAACTGAATGTCAGCTTCTGTATGCACTTCCTTTCGACCTATGGAAACCGTACTTGTTGCAAAAAGACTTCTTAAGTAGCACGCATTTCTTGTGCAGATTTTCGACGGTCTTATGCATTCGAATGAATTTTATAAAATGTCTGTATAAAAGGATGCTTTCTTCCACTCGTTTGGTCAACAATCACCTTGTTTTGCATTCTATACCCGAAGAAAAGATAAATTTCGGATTAAAAAGTTTCAAGTTGTGTTATTTTTAAGACCATGCAATATCCATTCATACACCATCATACCTATCCGTTTATCAATGATCTCCATGAAGTATACAAAGTAGTCGTTACCCATTGCAAAATTTTGCAAACTACGTATGGTGTATTTTAAAAGTCTTAGAGGAATATACGATTTTCCTCACGCGGAATCGCGACTTATTAGGCTCAATATGTTTCGAAAGTTCGGCAACTTTCTTCAAACCGAAATATATATTTTCTTCGAGCATAAAATGCAAAGACAAGGTGATTGTCTACCAAACGAGTAAAAGAAAGCATCTTTTTGTGGACGCTTTTTATAAAACACATTCGAATGTATAAGACCGTCGAAAATCTGCACAAGAAATGCGTGCTACGTAAGAAGTCTTTTTGCAACAAGTACGGTTTCCATAGGTCGAAAAGAAGTGCATTCTGAAGGTGAAATTCGGGCGAGTCTGAAATATCGCCGAATTATGCCGCGTGACAGTTACTATTACAACCCTACCGAAGTAATCCTTCGTGGTCAAAAACGCATTTCAGAATTTCGGCCAATATTTCATGAGATCGGTCGCCCACTGTACCATACTTGACATAACAGCCACTAACTAGTAGTCTAGGCACATGCTTACACTATATTCTGCTGCCGCATGGCAAAGATACAATTTCTAAATTGAAGTATTTACCAGAAAGCACACGGGGAATGCTGGAGACCCACTGGTGAGCCGAACCCCTCGCAGCCGTGTCATGCAGCGGTAGACTATTGGCGAAACACGCGTGTCTGGGCTTTAGTCAGTACAATTATGATATATCGTGTTGTCAAGTATATATCACTGGCTGCCTTTTGGCAGTTTATGTATATTACGCGGTTTTTTTTCAGCAGAGGCAGATGGATTTCGGCCGAACTATTCTTATTAAAATTCAGTCCGGGTCTATAAGACTCAAATAGACTGATTTGCCCGAAGTTAGCGATTAGTTTCTGAGGAAATTTAATAGCTGCAAATTATCTGTTTTTGCACACCAAACAAACCGGTTGACAGTTCATAAAACTGTCGTTAGGGGTATACTCTGCTCTTTCAGTCAACAAGGCAGTCAAGCCTTATAATGGACCCTATACAGAAAGACAAGTCGTTCATATAGCATCGCAGATGTGGATCAATAAAAATAGCTTGAATTTGACACGCTATTTTATAAACTATTTTCATTCAGCCAATTATCTCAACTGATTATAAACCTTTGATATGGGTTAGACTGAAGATGCTCTGGAGATACTTCGACGATCAGAAATGGTCCACCGAAACTTACAGAATTTAAATACACTAAACAGCACACAACAGAACGCGAACCATATTTCAGAAACGTCAGTTAGCATATAAAGATCTTTAATTGCTATCTCATTATTGTGTGTTATAGAGGAGTTTCAGTGTCAACCAGATGAAATCGAATAATTTAAAAGAACGGGACTAACTAAAAACTGGAGATTACTTGTTGCAAGGTAAGTCTAGCGAAAGAAAAAAATCCGAGTTTCAGCTGAATGCCATTTGTCTAGCTTAACTCTGTGTATCATTGAAAAGAAAAATCTAGAAAGTACAAAGCTATTCTCGCTACTTTTAGCCAATCCCAGAAATTTACCTATGATCTCGAGTGAACGCGTACGCTTTTGTATTTTAGGGTCCTTATTGCGTAAACAATAGTACATTCGCCACTGTCCGATCATAGGAAGAACGTCTCGGCATTCTGAGTCAGTTAATGCCAAACCAGTTGTTGGCAAACGCTCGGTAGAGGTCAAACGGGCAAAGTGGGCACAGATAACACATATCTGTTCTGACTTCACTTATGCTTTATGAAGCATACAACATAAATAACAGGGTCTCTCATGGAACTGGTCGCTAATGCGCCCGAAAATACTGAAGCGCCATAGAAATGCGTTAACGAACTGAAAATACGCAAGTAAAAACGAAAGAATTGTAAAAGAGGCATCTATTTAATTCAAAAGTGCTTTATGAACAAGCTGCGACTTGACTGAAATGCAATGAATAAGGCACATTATGGTAGAAATTATGCGCGTAAGTTGAGGTAATTTTGCATTGTCCGGCAGTAGTCTCGTAAAAGGCATACGATGGTAAAGTAATAGGCCTTCCAGGAAAAGGTGAGTCTCGTTGTTTTCCAGTGGAACAAAATACGAGTGCGTCTCAATTAGCGGCAGTTGACGCAAGTGAATTGTCCTTCGAGCTCATTAAATTGCTCACCTTGGATACTCTTCTTGCACTTCGAGCAGGCAAAACATTCGGGGTGGTAGCATTTATTCTTATACTTTGAATATTTTACATTCAAACCGATGACTTTGGCGCATTTCTGAAAATTCCAAGTAATTTGTTATTAGGGACATATCAATGGTTGGTGATCTCTTTAAAAAATCCAAAAACATACAGCATACAACATCTCATTTGGTTTTGGGCATACGGGCTGCCAAACTTAAGTCAACGTTAAATAGAAAGCTACTCGATTAAATCCAACCTGTATCATTTGAAGCTGATGTCAGTAGGTCCGTGGTCGCGCCTAGCAACCTCTGCTAGGCAATAACCTCGTTTTCTTTTCAGATGAAATATAGCGTTCGGGAGTAGGTGGTTCCTTCTTAACATGAAAAAGCACTATGGAAATATGTGTTTCGAAAGCAGGCAGCAAAGTTGGCGTTCTGATGGATGACTTGACAATTGGGAATAAGTATTGTTTCTGCCTTCAGACTAATACAAAGTTTGAGGTATGATCCTACTTTGTAAAGTTTCAACTGCTTGGGTAGTGCTAGGTTAATTGCTCGTCTGAGAGCAAAATGATCGAGTTTAGTAACATATATATGGTACAAAAAATTAAACCGGCTTTGGTTTTTGAGATCAAGTGACGGTGGATAATAGCTTCTTTCTACCACAGCAGTTTTCGAACTTCCATTTTTGTCTATCGGACCTTAAATGCGCTGAATTTATAAAATGCATAGTAATTTACGCTTCAATTACTACATCATGCCCCAATTAAGCCCTAAGTTTGTTTCATGCAAGAAGTTGTGGATTAGGTGATAACATCTAAATCACTCTTGGCCTACGAAGCCGTCACGAGTAAACATGCAACCATTAGGTGAAACTTACACTACACTTCGGTTGAAACTTTTCTGTGTAGCAGTTATCGCAATAGTTGCCGCCGTTTTTTGAACGAAAATTCATTCCGGCCAGCTTTCCCTTGCACTGGGTGCATACAAAGCAGTCCGTGTGCATCTTCTTTCC